GTGTGAGAGAGAGAGAGAGAGAATTGATCAGTTGTCATTAATGCACTCATATGTCCGATGTATGTATATGTGTTTGTCTACAACACAGGTGTGTATTCTCACTACGTCCTCCAGCCATCCCAGTCTCTCTCCCTCCTTTTGAAGCCTGTTGTCTCCAAAGAGTTGCTGCTGCCCTGCTCACTGCCTGTCCCAACTCAGGAACCTGCACCAGAAACCATGCAGACTATACAGGTTAGGTGACCGTTGTTCATTATAAACAAATATCAGAAGTACACAGAGGCACCCAGAACTCAAACCTTCAAAACACCTGCAAAACAATTCCAAATTGCTCCAGATGCTGTGCCATTGATGTATAAATGTGTGTGTGTATTTCTCATGAGCAGTTGGCACCATGTATGCTGCATCAGTGTAGGAATGTGATATGTAGTATGAAAGGCTTTGAGTGGTCGGAAGACTAGAAAGGCTCTATACAAGTGCAGTCCATTTACCCATCTACCCTGCAGTAACAATGTCATATATGTGATGAAATATGAGACTGAAGAAAATCTGCAGGTACAGTTATTAAGTGCTTAGATAAATGAAGGTTTCTCTGAAGTAGAATCTGGTCGGATAGAACATTTCATCTGAATTACATAAAAAAAAGAGAAACCTCGGCCCTCATCTAAACATATATATATAAACACACATATGTATAAATATAGATATACATATATATATGCAGCTATAATGACAAATTCAAATACAGTACACATATGTAGTTGGTGTGTGAGAATATCCAGTGAAACAGTGTAATTTAATAGGAAACACTAGTTGTACTGTATTTATCACATCACCAAAAATCGGTATTTATTATTATTGCATATTTATCCTATTGCTATATTGAACATAAATTGATACACCACTAATTCACAGTGACTGATTAGTATGAATAGTAATTATTTTATGTCTGAAGGTGGAAAATTATTTTCAGTTTGAATTCTAGTCAAGATATTATGTATCACATATATTTTGAACAGGCTGTGCTTACCATTACATTTTTAAAATGGCGCTAGCTATATGTGCAGATCTCCTTGACATTGAATTCAATGATTTTATTTGCATGTTAGCAAAGTGTAAAAAAACAAACCCACACACAGACGTTTGGACATTCAAATAATTCTGGAATGATGTTTGTTTTCTGTCTGTTTCTCTGTCAGGGCTGTCTCACTCAGCTGGATGAGGAGTTTGTGTTCAGCCCTCTTTCTCTGAGCAGTAATCTGTACCAGCACCTCAGGAGCAGAGGCCTGCTGTCACAGCCACGATACCCATACAGGTCAGAGGGGAGTGGTGTGGTGATATATTTATGATTAAGATGTAATGGATGTAGTGGTCAATGATGTAAGAAAGAAAAATGTAGGATGATGAAACTCTATGTGATTATAATGACTTCACAAAGCATGATGATTATGATAAAGTTAATGTTAAAAATTGGCCTCAATCTGCACAGCATATGACAAAATTATACATAGACTGAAAACATATGAAAAGTATAGACCTGGCAGGATGCTGAGAGACTTCTATTGCCGCCACAAGACTGTGAAGACAATATTAATGAGGATGACAATGATTGTGATAATGTAAGATTTCAGATAGTGATTATAAGGACATGTCTTTGATGATGGTTGATTCCAGGTTGCAGCCAGCCGCTGCCCACAGAGACCAGTCGCAGTCACTAGAGGGCCCTAAAACCACAGGCAGCAGACAGCCTCGGCAGGTAAACACAACATCTTTATGATGGTATAAAGATCGCAATGTGTTGGTATAAATGAGCACAATGATTATAATACGAGGGAAGTTGACAATATGAGTGGAGCAGTTTGACGGGACAAAGCAGGAAGAATCATTTTCAACTTCATTATATTATTCATGTGCTTTAGTAATGCAACTTCCTCCTCACTTCTCACTTCCGTATTTACTCAATAGATGGCAGCACTGGCAGACATAACCTTAACCAGTGATGGAAGAAGTACCCCAGTTCTTTACTTAAGTAAAAGTACCAATACCTCAATGTAAAAATACTCCATTACAATGTAAAATCCTGCATTTAAATTCCTACTTAAAGTAAAAGTACAGGCTAAATTTACTCAAAGTATTAAAAGTACTCGTTTTTCAGAAATCTCCCGTGTGACTGTTATAATATAATAAATTTGATTATTCATACTGATGCATCGTGTGTAAGCAGCAGTATTTTACTGTTGTAGCTGCTCAAGGTGGTCTTACTTTATATACAGTTCAGTACTAATGGTTCCCAACCTAGAAGTCAAAAGTAAATCTGAGGGCTTTGTGAACAGTTATTTAGATGAAACCATGTGATAAGTTTATAGGGGAAAAGTCTTTGGTTGAGTCTCTTTGGTGAACTTCTGAAAAGGTCATCTAAGACATCTAACACATGACAAAGAGCCACACACTGGTTTCATGTAGGTCACACTGGTTTGTTGAACCAGTTCATATTTAACAATGTTTTGCTCATTATGTTGTTTATGTAGAAGTTTATATAAATGTAGTACACTATAAGCAGCAGTAACATTCCACAACTGATTATAACACCAGAACTATGATGGCTATATATAAAGGTGCATGTGAACTATCAAAAGTTGAAATAAAACTTGTTTTCATGTGGAATCAACACTAAAATCTTAACACAGGAAGAGATTAGATTATCTCCCCAAGTCCTATTTAATGTGTTTTTACAAAGTAACAGATAATGTTGTGTGTAATTTTATTGTTTTATTTTACAGTCTTTACAGTGAGTCATAAACTCTAATAAAACTAGCTGACATGACCGTCACAGAGGGATCATCTTAAAGGTTTAGACCAATGTGCATTTGATACCAAAAATCCTCAGTATAAAAAAGGTGCTTTTTCAGAGGTCTGGTTACAATTCAACTACTGGAAATGTGTCAGCTAGTATTGTTCATTAAATTATAAAATGTACTGTAATGGCTACTGTGCAGGCAGAGAAAAGGTCATAACTTTAAGTATAACAGACGGCGTCTCGCTTTGAAAGACCCTAACATCCCTCCATGTTATTATCGACTGAGGCCGGCTGTGACCTGAGAGTGTGTAGCTGTTGGCAGTGTGACTCATCTGGGTTGATAAGGCTGCTGACATGCAAATATTTCTCTTCAGCGGCAAAACGCTCCACTTTTGTTTTGTTCTGTTCCTTGGCACGTTCTCTTTTTATTCACCACGGTGGAACTTAACTCCTAACTCTTAACATAATGTTTGTATTTGCACTGTTAATGTCTTCCTCCTCTCACCTTTTCCTCTCTGACTCTTTATCTCTCTTTGTTTCACCTCCTCCAGAGCCTCCTCCTCTTCCTCCCTTTTATCTTACTTTCTTTTCTCGTCTTTCTTATCAATCAAGTGTAAGCAAGACGTGACAGCTCAGACTGTATTATCTTGTTGTTTAAGTTAAAGTAGCATTAAATGAGTGTTTTTAAAACTTTAAATATATAAGTCATATATAACCTGTGTGTTTTCTCCACTCAGACTCAAAACCAGGGTCGCCAACTGGGAATGAACAGCAAGATCAGGGCCACTGTGGCTCCCTTCCCCTCTTCCTCCTCCCACTCGTCCTCCTCTTCCTCCCTGGGACCTCCTCCTGCTAAGGCCTCTCGTCCGGCCCTGACGCTCCTCAGCAGCAGCAGTGGTGGAGGTCGCCAGGCCCCAGCCCCTACGCGTCAGGACAGTGACAATGATGATGTTTCCATGGTAATACAGTAAGAACGCAGGAAGATGGGAGGAGAAAAGTGGGCCATGGGAACAATAGAGTGACAGGGAGGTGACAGAGAGAGAGAGAGAGAGAGAGAGAGGTGGTGTAGTGCATCCTGAACATTTATCACACACACTTCTTTCAGTATCCTGACTTGTCAACTTCAAAAGGGCTTTACAGTGAGCTATAGGATAGCTTATTCAGCACACACACACGCATTCTGTGTCCATTGTAAAGTTTGTGAGTAATTAAGCAGCTCATAAAGGCTTTGAAGACTTTGTAAAGGAGGGAAAGACACACTAATTTGCAACGTACACAACACACACACTACTCTGTGCTGCATTCTGTGTGGTTACAGCTTCTTTTGATACTTGAGTTTGTCTCTATTTTTTCTCACCACACCAACCGTATTAGCTGAATTTAACAAGCCTCTGTGCATGAGCGTGTGTGTGTGTGAGAGAGAAAGGAAAGTTTCAACTTGCTGCCATCTGCACATTGCTGAGGCAGCAAAACGTCCAAATCACACACCGTGAACAATGAAAAAGCGCAAGGAAAGATGAAAAGAAGGGAAACAGCAGGACAATAGAGGCCTGGAAGAGTCGCAAAATGGAGGGAAGGAAGAGAAAGTTATAAGAAATGACAAAACAGAGCAAAAGGTGGGCGGCGAGGGAGATCAGAGGGTGATTAAAGGGTGTATAAAAAGCCTTGTCTGCATGTCACAGCGCACCCACTAGCACACATGAACGGTTGAAAGCCAGAAACCAGTTTTAAAATTATGATTCAGGCGTAATAAAGCAGACATACTGCAGCTATAGTACGACAGTGACTTATAGACAAACACACATATGCACATTCTGTTTCCATTTTGCCCTTAAGCCCCGGTCTGAACACAGCTTCACTGTTTTAATGAGACAGAGAATAAAGCAGCAGACAGAGGGGCCTCTCTGCTCTCCTTCACCCCCGCAGCTCCCTCTCTCTCTGGGGGTTGAAAGGCAGCGTGAGGGGGGTCTGTGGTGGATGGAAGGAGCACAGAGACTGCAAAAAAAAACTGCAGTAAGCTCTCTAAAATATTGAATGCGACACACAAAAAGAAAAATCTTCGCGGTGTGTTTGAGGGCTTGACTCGAGTCCATGCAGTGACATCACTGGCTGATGTCTGCACAGTGTTACATTCACACACATTTAATTGATGATTCATGCTCATACGCACACATTGGTCAGTCAGACACATCCACCGTCACTATTATTAATGTATTCCTCATCCACACACACACACACACACACACACACACACACGCGCGGCTTAATCAGTCTCCCGCCATTCCACCCCCTTGTTGAACCTTATAACATTATAGTGACTACCCCGGTGGCAAATGTCTTCATGACGTTGTGATGTCACAGGACTTCCGCATTCAGGAATTACACCCACAACGATCCTTTTGTCCCCGAAGAGAATTTGACCGGACCTCCGAAACTACCCACTGACATTTTACCCACTTCTCTCTCGCCCTCTCCGTCCCTTCACTCGCGCACTCAGGGAAGTTGAGTCAATGTGTGTGAGTTTCAAAAGATTTGTTCAAATAGAACAACAGCAGCCTCTCTGTCCGCAGAAAGGTCAAAAGGCTGGAGCCAACGTTCCCCTGTTTGACCCGCAGCGTATCAGCCACACTCCTCATTAAATGTCACAACTATTAGAGATTAATGGGCCATGAGCAACAGTCAACAGAAGTGTCCCTATTTGTGTTAGTACATTCATTCAGTTTTGAATTTAACGGAAGGATCTCGCTAGTCAGGAGAGGTGTCAAGATGTTTTTGACCCATAACAGTTCTTTGTTCGTTGTTGTTTTTATTCCACCACACAAACATCTTTATCGCATAGTGTTACCTTCCTCGTGTTCCTGTTCAGCTTTCATGTTCTGTCTGTTGTTTCAAAAGGAAACTGACTCATTCACTCTGTAAATTGATATTTCAGCAGTCCAGTCATTACAGGATCTTATAACTTCTCCATGTATAAATATATTTATAGACATATTTATTGACTTTCTCTCAGATTTGTATTTTAACACTTTATGAACTGTGGGTTATTAAATTGTAAGATTTTGTTTGGAGATTTATTGTGGTAACTTTTCTGTAACTTAAGGTAAAGTAGCCTGACATAGTTTTACTTTTAAAAGAGGCCATCTAACCACCTTTAACACCCACTGGTTCGCCTGCGCAGTGCTTGCACTATATAGAACTTCCACAGACAGGCACAGTCCAACTACAAGCAAATTGAAATTGTTGGGAAACCTAATCTCAGATCTATTTTTTATGCTGGAGAGTGTGGAAATTGTGTCAGCAGGTTGTTAATCCCTGCTTGTTGCCTCTTTGCTTAACAGTATCACGAGTTAAAGGTCTAGTGTGGAACATTTAGGAGGATCTATATTCTACACAAATGGAATATAATATTCATAGGTTTGATTTCATTACAGAGGGAGCGAGTCCACCATGTTGAGCCACCATGTTTCTACAGTAGCCCAGAACAGACAAATCAAACATTGGCTTTAGACAGGGCCTTTCACGATTTTACGTTACCTGAGGGCCACCATAGATTCACCTAAACACTTGGAAAGGGAGAGGTCAGGGGAGGGGCATTCAGTTTGTTGCAATCTGCGCCTTTGAACTCCTTTAACCTCCTTTAACCTCATTCGTATATTAGCAATGGTTGTAATGTGAACTGGGACAGTAGAAATTGCTCCAGGAAGATAATGCACGGAAGCGATGTTGTGAATCTTGCATAAAGATCAAACAGATGCAGCAGCCCCTCACAGCAGTTCATCGACTGATATTTAGCCCAACAGTGCCATTAAAATAAAGTAACAATATGCTTTTATATGAATAATTAGCAGAGAATGAGACAGAAAGGGACCCCTGTGGAAGAATGAAATGCCTGACAGTTGCTTTTGTCTGCTGCTAGGTCTGAATGAGACTCTGATATAGTGCATGGGTCAGATGGTCAGAAGATTAAAACTTTTAATCTTAACCACTTTAACCCAAAAGATCATATGAGGTCACGCCCACAGAAAAAAGTGTAGACATTTGTGAGATGCACCGTTGCTGAGTGTAGACAGACTGATCTCACACCACTGTACAGGAGACAGTTTGTCTCCTGCTTTTTAAGTTTTGATTCATCACTTCCTGAGGGGTGGAGAGATGACCTTTTCTCTGCATCGTTTTGTCTAATTTTGCAGACAGTGAATACATGCCGTGTGGACAACACACTCTTCTGCTATGGTTCCACTTTGGCTAAGTTCTGTATTTTTGTTCAGAAGTTGATTGGCTTCCTGTTTCTTGAAACCTGTAGCATTTGATGCAGTCTACCACAAAAGTTAGCCATTTCTGGCAGTTTAAAAAAAAAAAATATTCCATTCTGATATTAAAAAATAACTTGTGGTCTGCCTGACTAAAAGTGCAATAGTATTTCTTCTATGTCTCATCAGTTTCTATATTTGAGTCAGGATAATATTAGCGCTGTGACTTCCTGCTTTATCTCAATGTACCATTTGCTTTACTGAAATCTGCAGAAGACAGGAACCTCAGCCAGACTCTCTATCTGTCTCACAAACCGTCTCTTTCCTGCAATTGTCCCCAAGAGTCGCAGCGACGGCACAGGACTCTAACATACACACAGCCGAACAAAGCAGGAACTCACACAAGAGTCACAACTCATATAAAGGTTCCAGGCAGAGTCCCTCACAAGGAGAGCTGGGTGAGAACAGAAAGAGGAAGTGCATCTTTGCAAGGAGGAAGTGAGGAGGTGAAGTCAGGAGGCTACAGGACCTGAATTAGAATCCTACTGGCAGAAATCTGAAAGGTCTATCCTACGCAGGTCTAGAAAAGTCTGGAAAACTGAGACAAGACTGTGAACAGAAAACCTACTGAAAACTGGCTCCAATCACGGGTGGAATTATGAACACTTCCTGAAAAATAATTTAAAAATCTCTTCATTGTCTCACTTTACATTTATACATGTATTCAGCAGACTTTTGCACAGGCACCCCTCTTATTTTCGAGGTCATGGGGCCACAATCTGAATGAGAAAATGTCATTTCCTTCAGATAGCGGTGAGAGGCGGGAGTGAATGAAACTTTCTTTCAGACACACATGACTGAATGGGTTGGCCCACGCACAGCTAAAAATAACTTCTGGTGGTCTGCAGATTCACAGACAAGAGGAAACCGGAGAGTTTCAGGTGTTCCTGAAGAGGGAACATGTGAATCCTCCTTAGATGTGCGCAAGAGAAAGGCCTCATATTCTGTGTACCGCAATCTTAAAACAGAATGAGGAAATGCAGCTGAGTTTCAGCTCGAGAATGTTTTATGCACACACATGCAGCTGACAGGTGTGAAATCGTCACAAGATTAGAAACTGTCTTCCTGGTCTTCATTGAAAGTGATGAGTTTCCAGATCTTGACAAATATCATTTTTTTACATTTGCTGTTGAAAAAAATCATTTTAACGTCATGGCTCCTAAAGACAAGAAGCTATTATGAACTTTAGACAAGATCCATTTGTTGTTCTTTGAGCTTGTTGTTTTGGTTTTGCAGCCCACAGCTTCACTGTTGTGGTTCACTCTCACTGCTCTCTTCAATCACGTTTCAAGCAGCGGGCATCTGTTTTCAGTGCTCTGATACACCCATTGTATGCGACCTGCAGAGCACCAAATTCGGGTCAGACAAACTTAGCGACTAGCGTGTGTGTATAGTGGAGCGCTTAGCAGCTAAAGAGCCCAAGTCGGTGCAGACCAATATAGAGCACATTTTAAATGAATGCTTTTTTTGCTGTTTGTGTAAATAGGCCAACTGGTCATATGAGCTTTATAAAGTGGTGATATGTCAGTGTTGTGTTTCACTGCCCCTAAGTGGCGAAACAACCAACTTATGTAAGTCAGGTAAGGTGTGTTGCAACCATGCAAAATTCACTTCTGGACCATTTGGGTTTATTTGTCTCCAACAGCCAATGCACCACCTGAACAGACGCTACCTGCAAACGGACGTGCTGTGGGTGTGTCTGCCTGTTTGATGTTGCTCAGTTTAGCCCCTAACTGAACTCAGAACCACAAAGAGAAAGAACTACAGTCTTTCTCTTATTCCCCTCTAGTCTTTCTACTTGTTCTTCTTCTCCTCTCTGTACGTTTATGAAGCAGATTCATAAAGCTCAGGGATATGCTGTAAATTTTTACTCACATTAAAACTTTTAGAACTCGCTTTGTCTTCAGTTTGCGTATCTAATTGTAACTGTGTGGGTAGTTATTATTTTTTAAATTCTGTTTCCCAGCATCTAAAAATAGTCCAGCCTCCACAAAAAGCACCTGTTAGCGTGAAGCAGAGTTTCAGTGCCTCTTGTTGTTGGACTGATCCTGTTCTCTTTCTGTAAGTCTGACATGACCTTAACAAACAGAGAGCGAGCGAGAGACCTTGACGGGAAGGAGACTGACATACAATGTTGAGATAGACTGTGACTGACATGATAATAGTCGAAGATTGTGTGTGTTGGTGTGTGTGTGGTGTCTACATGCAGAAATGCAGAGACCTCAGACCTGCAGATAAAGCTCATCTGGCCAAAGATAGCGAGATGTGGCTAGAAACACAAGCACGCCAACACGAGCAAGTTGAGTTCTGTCATTGACGAGGCTTTTTTCTGTCTCCGGTTTCAGCATTTATCTATCAATCCACACTTTTTTGGTTCTTTTTGTGTCATGTGTCCCTAATGTGTCATGTGTCCCTAATGCAAAACATTAAAGGGCTCCCTACTGACTTAACATTTCTCTGAAAAACTGAGAAAACTCACAGAAGTTGATCTGAAACTATGAAGTGAGGTCTCATATATGCTTTCAGTATGAAGCTACCAACCTTCGGCACACACACACACACACACACACACACACATATACACACAATCACACAGGAATGCATACAAGTTGATATGGCAGCAATGGTGGAACATAGGCAGACACATAGTCCCAAACTGATATAGTGTAAACTGAACAAACTTGACAGCAGCAGGCCTGTTTGTAGATTATTCTCACACGCTCGCCTATTGCTGTCACACACATGCACACACACACACATCCATGGTATCAGGCAGCCAGTTGAGCTGTTCTGCAGATGTGTGAAAGGTCAAAGCAGATGAGAAGAGAAATGTGAAGAAGGAAGGAGAAGAGGTGACAGAAAGAACAGAAGAGCCTTTGGTAACACAGGAACAAGGTCTTTTAACCTCTTCGAGTTTGAAGGGCTGTACCAAATTAGTTATTCTAATCTAGTGTACACTCTTGTGACTCTGCCGGCGTTTAAGGCTGGTTTGAAACTGCATTCATATAGTGCCATGTATAAACATACCTTGTTATAGTGCAAACAATAAGTTATTAAAGTAATGATTATTGACCGATTCATATATTCACGTTTTAATTTTAAACAATGAATGTGGAATTTATCTTACATCCAGCAGCCAGTTAGCTTAGCATAAAAGACTGGAAAACAGCTAGCTGGCTCTGTCAAAGATAATGAAATTTGCCTACAAGTGCCCATAAAGCTAACTAATTAATTGTATCTTGTTACAAAAGAAGAAAAAGAAAAGAGAAAAGCGTAAGAATGACATGTTGTGGTTTAATGAGTTGACTATGTGCAGGATTATGTCTTTACCAGGCGCAGTGACTTCCTGGAGTCTCTGCTGGTTAGCTGTTCCCCTGATTCCAGGCTTTATGCTAAGCTAAGCTAAGTGGCTGCTGGCGGTGGCTTCATATTTAAGGTAATATTTAGCTCAGCGAGAAGGTGAATGAGTGTGTTTTCCTGAAATTACGGTTTTGTTACTATGATGGTGAGCACCAAACAGTCAAAAAAAAGGTGTAAATGTACTTTGCCACCATACAATTTACATCATGAAATGTGTTATCTGAAAAAAAGTGCTATGACTACCTGTCACCCTGCTCAAACAGGCCAACCCACAGTTAGCAATAGAAGACATCCATCTACTAAGAAATGATAAAAGAGTAAAAACTCCCTGCATGGTCAATGTAGGCGGCAGACTATCAAAGTAAAACATCATGAAAGTTAAATTCCATGAATACAATTACGAAATAAATGAAATCCACTGAACTATCATTTCTAAGAGCTGAGCCACTGAAGTCACTCTCCTCTACAAACACTTTAAACAAGTCTTCTACACGCACACACACACACACACAAACTGCAAATAAGTAAATATCTTGTTTTGGATATTCCAATGAGGAAGTGTTGAACCTTATTAAAGAAGCAAATGTTGACAGCATGAAAACAGTACCAAGTACCCTGTGCAGAGTGTGTGTGTGTGTGTGTGTACCATGCTTCTTTTTCCAATGGGTTCACTCAGAGTTTAATGAGAAAGACAGAAGTTTGTCGTCGCTCTTTCTCTTTCTGTTTTTCTTCCCCCACTCTGTCTGAAAGAACAGAGGAAGTAAGGGGGGGGTGAGTGAGGAAATTTACCTCAAAATGTAATCCAGTTACTTTCAGAGGACTTTCCTGTCCAGAAAGTACTCCTCCAGCAGCAGGTGGGGAAAGAAAGAGAGAAAACGAGGGATAAAGAGGGATGACGGGGATAAAGAGCAGCAGCGGTGACGGGAACAGTCTGTACCTGTTATGCAAGCCAACCAGACACAGACAGGTTCATCCAGCCAGCATTCATAATGTCAGCGCTTTTTCATCTCTTTTCTCCGCCTTTTCTTCCGACTCGTTCGTCATCCTCAGTTCAGGATAAACACCCACATGTTCCCGTTCCTCAAGCAGCATTCTTCAACATGTCAATTAGCTGTTTTTCCCATTTTCTCCCCTCTTTCCATCTTCTATTCCTGCCCTCCTCTCACGGTATCTCTCTGCAGTTAAAATGCACAGCGTGTCCGACACAAACCAGCCACCATTTACTGTCACCAGAGCAACCGAACAACAGTATTAATGCAGAGCGGGAGAAAGGAAGGAAGAAAGACAAGAAAGAAAGAAAGTCTTTGTTTCCTTTTTTGAGGCTCAACTTTAAACGGTTGTGATTAAGTGGGTTGGAAACTGGACTGAAACAACAAAAACAGAGCGTGGCAGAGGGAGGGAAGTGGAGGATGAGGTCAGACTCTTTTACTGTCCCGTTTGGTCCAGAACAGAAAGTCTTTAAAACACTAAAAACTGTGTCTGATTGGATCCTGACAGGAGAAATACACTGAAGGGAAGTGGTGATGTAGCAATTAGGGGAGTTCTCTTGTTTACAGATCCACTATGGAGATATGCTTTAAGTTTTTGGAGCCATTTTTATTATTAGTTATATTTACAGACAGCACAGCTGTTTTTGACATACATACACACACCGACATATTGCAGAGAACTGATTAGTTTTATATTTAGTCTGTCTGTACATAGAAACGTAAAGGATTCAAATAATATTATCTTGTGCAGGAAGTCGGAATTTATTGGCCACATGAGGACCATGTGACCCCCATGGCCCCTTTATGGCCCATTTATGTCTGTCTCCAAGACCCAAACGGGGTCTCCAAGTCCCATTGTTCATGCTTCCTCCCAAACAGTAGCATTGATGTTTGTCTCGGTGGATCCTAAGATGCACCCATGTGGCATATTAGTGTCCTGGGCTGACAATGTTGTAGTCTCCCTATTTCATTGGGCTCAAGGGTGACACATCAGCCCGGAAAACACAAACACGCGAGCTCCTTTTGGCAAAGATACTCCAAACCTGTCAAACCGTAACTCCTGGCTGTCACATTGTCTCACATTGCAGAGAAACACAAAAGCAGCAGTGCAAAAACATGTTTCCCGCTCACTTCATAAGCACGGCAGACATTTTATAAACGAAGAGCCAAGCCGCGGTCTCAGCTTGTTAAAGTAAACCCTCTAGGCCGAGCTCCTTTTGGCAAATCCTAACTGTTTCTCTGTGTGTGTGTGTGTGTTCAAGTGAAGTGGCTGGTTCCAACCACACTGTGGATTGGTACTCCAATTATGGGTTTGACCAAGCAAACTCTCTCTTTCTCAAACACACACACACAAACACACACAGAGGGTGGCCTTACAATAGTTGCACTCCGTGTTTCAGAATGCAGCCGTTATGTGGTTTTCTCATAGTTGTGAGCTAATCTACTCGAAATGAATCGACTGTCTCAAATAATTATTCCAGTCCACAGATGGAAGAAATGTGCTTACAGAAACTGTAAGAAGAAAGGCATTGACTGAAAGTTTGCTTTTCAGCCTTTTTCTTTCACAAATGGGGTTAACGTTTCATTTTGGTCCCTGTAGAAACAAGAAGGATGTCAAATATCTCCCAAGTTGTCGTAGATGATATCACGTGATCTCAGCGGCGCCTGGTGGTGCTGGCTGTACCACGAATTAGCAGATGGAGGTTTCTGTTTTGACACTTTGCTGTACAGCTCCCTTCCGCCTCCTCCTCCTCCCCCCCCTCCTCCTCCTCCTCCCCAAATATTGTTGTTGTTGTTGTTCACATTATTGCCAGGACCTCCATGTTTCCCAGGGGGAAGTGGCACCGGCTCCTTCCGAGCGAAAGGGCTCCTGCTCGGCTTGGGGGCGGTTGTGGGTTTGGGCCACCTCGGGGCCGGAGGATGCGGTGTGCCCCGGCTCGGGCCCAGCTGCGGGGGAGAGTGTTTGTGGGAGGGGGTGCTGTAATTTCCCTCCGGTCCTGACGGGGCTGTCACCTCTTCCTGTCTCCTCTGGCTGTGGGGCTCCAAACGGGCCTCGTCGTAAATACTCATCCCTGAATTAGCCAACATGCCAGCAATTCCTTTGGCGCAACCCTCCGGTTCATCGTATATGTGCTCCGGAGGACCAGGAGGTGGCGAAGCTCCTTCTGCTTGGATTCCTGGTGGTCGCCTGTTACTGTTCACGCCTCTTCCTCCCCCTCTTCCTCCCCCTGTGGCCCCGTTTAAACTCAGCGCGATCGTTTTCTGGTTCAGCTCCAGGCTGATCCGGTCGTACACGTGTGAGTACAGGTCCGATTGCTTCCTGGGGTTGCTGCCGACATGGTGGTGATCCCCTTGGACGCCACCTCCTGAAGCCTCGTCCCCTACCGGTCGGAGGCGTGGGGTGGGCACTGGAAGGGTGGATGGGTTGCTAGTTTGGCTTTGAGCCTTGATGCTGTCCACTGGGTCGGAGTAGAGGCAGTCGGAGGCAGTCAGAGGCAGGCGGACTGAATCTGCTGGTTCTGAATAAAGACCTGCCTGTTCATCAGCTGAGGAAAGACCTTTTGCTGTCGCCTGCACCCTGGGAGACTTTGGAGGAGTCCCCCCTCCTCCCAAAACCGTCAACATGGCTGGTGGTTCTGGTAAACTCCTCCCTTTGATTCCTCCTGCAGCTCCTTGCCCCCATCCTCCTCCTCCTCCTCCTCCATCTCCACCCTCTCTCTTCCCGAGCACGCCATCAGCAGAGCCCGGTTTGCTGCCGCCTGAATCGCCGTCGGCCTCCCGGCTGCTGCAGCTGCTGTTGTCTCCGCTTCCCGCCGTCCCGCCACTAGGAACGGCGTTGCGTATGTGCTGCAGTGAGCCAGGGCACTCTGGGTCAAAGCTGAGGTGGCGCTCCTCAGCCTGTACCTTCTGCGACTGGATGGACTGGTCCACCAGCATGAAGATCTCGTTGCCCTGCTTGGTCTCAAAGGTGAAGTTACCGGGACCCGAGTCACAGCGGCGGCCCGCCTCGAACGAAAACATCACCTAGAGGAAGAAAGGAAAGGAAACATGTATTTACATGTGGAAATGCCATGAGTATGTGACTAAACAAATATAAAATTATAAATTCTCAGCATATCTATTTTATTACTTGACTGCTTTCTTTACTGTTAAATTCAATTTTATCTACATATAAATACACGTTTATCTGTAAAATGCAGATGTAGATAAATTTGGTTACATCCTTTTTTTTTTTTTTTATGATAGTGACAGCCGAAGATAAACAGGAAAGGGGGGGCAGAGAGTGGGGATGA